CTTCTTTTGTTCCTCTGACAAGTGGAAGTCACCAGGACATGAAATCTCAAGTGTCCATTAGCAATGAGGGTGGGGATGAGTGACGATGACGGAGAACAGGACTCGGTCTGGTCAAGGGCCCTCCAACTAGGCCCTGGAAACTGTGTCATGGTCAAGCAACTGGACAGCTTTGATTTAATGCCTTCTGTAAGGACATCAGCTGTTTCCAGGACTGCAATTCAGCAAAGACCCAAAAATACTCAGCATGCCAGAGAGCCAGCAGCAGACAGCTCGGGATGCAATAATTCACCCTGGGAGTTCCGAACTCCGCTCGGTTTCCTAACAACCCTGTCAACTCAGAAAACCTAAGTGGAAGCATTTTTCAAAACAGCACACAGACCAAATAGAAATTAGTAATTAGGAAAACCACAATCCCTACTAAGAGCACAAGCTGTCCCTTCCTTTCTTTGATCCTGCTTGATCCACAATGACTTTGCAGCCAAAATAACTGCCCAGCTGATCACAGAAAGACTTACGTGACTCAAACTCCTTCACAGCTAACAATTTCTCTGAAGGCGTTCTCTCTGGGTGGGTTTTCTAGTAATTGGAGAAGAAATCACACAGATAGAGATTTTAGCAACCAGTGTTAAAGTATCACTTTCAATTTTGTATCAACATGAAAAAAAAAAAGGCAATAATTCCCAAGGAAGTAAATGAAACTATACTCGGGGTCTATGCTGGGCTCTGGGAGTGTTTGCAACATCCAAACCCAAGATGCTCAAAAAAGCCTTTTCAAGTGTCTGTGCATCCCTAACACCCTGATAATACTATGCACATAGTAGGCTCAAAAATGCTTAGGATGGGAAAGAGCAGAGCCAGAAAACAAGTTTTTTAGGCCCTTACTTAAAAGGACCAAGTCCACAGACAAACCATCCTATTTATTATTTCTCCTTCTAAAAAGGAACAAAATCAAACCCCCATCCATTTTACACTTTCTTTACGCATAGGCTAAAATGATCTGTGTTTCAAAAAGAACACTTTTGGTTGTATCTGTGAGCCCAGATTCACTTTAAACGTGTTGCTGGCTTTGTTCTAGACACCCCAAGAGGAGCCAACAATAGTAAACCTGCTAGGCTTTGAGAACATGAATAAACTTGGTGTTGACAAGAGTTCAAACACAGAGCGCAGGAGCTGGCCTGAGGCTGCGTCTTTGTAATCTGGCTATTCAATTTGGGGATACAGGTGGTCTAGCAGGGCGCTCTCACCTCCCTAGTTAACATGTTAAGTTTCCCCTGGGCAGTTGGTAGCCGGTCTCCCCTAATCCTTTGCAAGCTACTAGAATACAAATGGTCTGTTTTTTTAATCATCAAATCCTATAGAGATAAAACGATGGTCAGGTAACTTTTCACTTAATACACTATTAGGAGTAGTAGTAATTATAATAAAAGTTGAATGAAACTACTATAAACTCATCATACAATTCAGGCTACGGCTCCTGGTGCCAAAATATTTCAATAGTTCTTTTTAGGAGCAGAAATCTTCCATTCACAGGATCCCTTTCTATAAGATTAGTAAGTCATCGCCTGGGAAAGCTTTTCATTCAGGAAAGTACAGCGGTTTCTTCTGAACTCTTAACCATAGCACTCGAAATAACATCAATTAAGGCAGGGCGGGAGGGGGGCCGTCAGATTGGCCCACCACTCCCAAGACTACACAGATGGCGCTGAGGGCTTACTTACCCTGACACCCACCCAGTCACACCACTGCCTTGTGCTTTCTCTGTCTGCTCAACCAGTCTGCATACATTTAAGGATCACTGTTATTAAGGAGCTCAAAGTCAACCTCCTTTAGAGAAAAAGCAATTCTGATCTTTCAGTGTTACTCCACAGAAGAGCCTCGTATGGCTTGGCTTACTCTGTGCTGGCAAAGTGGCACTTCGGCAAGCACCTGACCCAGGCTGAAAATAGCGTTCGGATGACCTCAGAGTTTGGAAATGTTCTACTTCTGTTTATGCAGCCGGATCCTAACTTGGTCTGGGCACAGAAACATGCAAATCATGACAATCACATTTGGTTGGGATTAAAAATACAGAAACATTGTAGGGCAGCAGGGGGTGGGGGGGGCACTGGAAGATATCTGAGAGAGGTAGATGTGAAAGCTTTGAAAGACCTGCAGCACCACCGCCAACGTCCTCCCTAGGATGCAGAAGCAAAGCCCCATGGATGTGTGCCCTCTGAGCTCCATCAGAGCAGGTTCCATGGATGTGTGCCCTCTGAGCTCCATCAGAGTAGGTTCCATGGATGTGTGCCCTCTGAGCTCCATCATGTGTGCTGTCTGAGCTCCATCAGAGCAGGTTCCATGGATGTGTGCTGTCTGAGTTCCATCATGTGTGCTGTCTGAGCTCCATCAGAACCAGCTGGCTTTATGCAGGACAAGTCCTGTGGTGTTTCCAGGTCTTCCTTTTAGTTTGGGCCTTCAGAGATCAAGTGACTAATGAACACGTAATCGGTAAGGACTGACCAAGCAAAGGGGAGAAGAGTCGTCTTGGCATCACCTTTGGAGAAAACTGTTGATGGCTGTCACTTATTATCATCAGGGGTTTCTCTTTCTTTCCTTCTTCCCACACCCCCCCCCGCCCCGCCCCCAGGTTTGTGAACTCTTCCTTTCCCTGCTTGCTCTGTTTTTCTTTCCTTCTTCCCACACACACCCTCGCCCCGCCCCCAGGTTTGTGAACTCTTCCTTTCCCTGCTTGCTCGGTTTTACTTTTCCACTCTTTCTCTTCTTTGCAGAATGGCATCCTTCGGGTTGTCCCAACCAATTTCTTGCCTGCCTATGAATGGGAAAGGAAGGAGAAGGGGAGCAGAACAGTGCCCAGGATGGAGGCAGTGGGGACGGGATGCACTCTGCATGTCAGACAGCAAAGAGGGAAAAAATCTCAAAGCTTACCAGCCAGTCCACCACCCTAGGAAGCTCTAATTATTTTCAGTCAGGTTTTTCATGCCATGAAAGGCCATATTTTTCTATGTAAACTTGTCTCAAAAAAAGCTTTGAATTTAAAAGCTGTGACTGTGTTCCTATTCTGGGGTAAATAGATCCTAACTGCAGAGAGAATGCAACAAACTAGCTCATGCCTGGAGTGTTTTTTCCATCCCCTGTCCATGCAATGTGACAGGAAATGGAATCTAAGGATGTTTAGCAAGAAATGATCATCACAGGTCACTCATCTTTCTGATGTTGGAGAGAAAAATAAGATAAAATGCTCTTGAACATGAGCCATGTTTCTCACCTGTTTGGCCAGAATCCTTGCAGTCAGCCTTACAGTCTCAGAGGGATTCCAGTTTTCTCCAAAAACAACCATGGGAGAGCATTCCAGTTTGTGCATGGGCCAATCTTCTTTCTGGGAATATTAAAAAAAATACATATATTTAAAAACCCACACGCCCTGGAATACAGTGCCAGAAGAGAGGATGCACTAAGTCCACCTAGGTGAGGTCAAGGGAAGTATGTTTCCTTTTGCAAAACATGAGGATGTTCATAAACACTAGAGATAAAAAACATCCTTTAAGGTAGATATTATATGATTGCATAACCTTGACTTGGGCCTGGCTAAGGAGGGTGGGATGATGGCATTTGTTCTGTAATTTTTTTTTTTTTTTCATCAAGCATCTCAGGGCTTCCTGCAGCCCCTCATTATCCCAAACAACACACAGACCTTCCTGTTATCTGTGTAAGCTGACATATTGCAGGGGTGAGAGGGTCAGGTATTAGCCATTGGTTTGGCTCTGCTCCCGTATAGTTCTGATGGCTCTGTTCTTAGGTTAAGGCAAGGAAGTGACAGTAATGGACCCAGAAATTACACACACACACACACACACACACACACACACAAATGAGGGCTTTGTCAAGGGTCTGCAAAGAGTCCAGTAAGGACAACTATTGGACATGTTTAGGAGTACAAAAGAGCATTTGGTAAAATGGTAGCATTTCTTTCTCTCATATGCCTTAACATTTTCCCCTTAGGCAGCCGTACACACCCCTGCAGCCTCCCCCTCCCTAGCCTCTGCTCCAGGCACCTTAAGGGACCTGCCAGATCACCTGTCAACCAGCACTTTCCCCACCCCTCTCCCTTCCCATGCTTCTGCTGCTTCTGAGTAGTCTCCTCCCCTGACACACTAAGTATTTTTTAGAATTTTGGTTCAGTATCTGTCTCCTCCATTACACTAAGGGACCTTAAGTCCGTTTTGTCCATAATGGCAACCCCAGAACCTACAACAGTATTTAGGAGGCACTCAACAAGCTGCAGAATCAATGAAGATGTCTTCATACCTTGCTCCCACATTCCCCCTATCCAATCCCAAAAAGGAGGGACACCATGTCACTTAATGATTTAATGAAATAAATGGCGCAGCCCCCTGGCTCAAGTTCTGTGCCAAGGTGTTCTGCAGAGTTAAATAACAGGGTGCCGAATATCACTGAGAACAAGGAGAGAAAGAAATGGCAAGATATGCACAAGGGAGGAGTGGATCTGTTTTTAGCCAAAGCCTAAGATGCGAGTATGGTGACAAGTATGGTGACGAGGCAGCGGGGGGACATACAGCAGGGGGGACTGGCTTCCTGCAGACTAAAGCAAAGAGGAAGACAGAGAGGGAAATGAGGACCACCAGCCCAGCGGGGGACAGGAGATAACTGACGACTACTGACAAGTGTCTACTATAATCCAAGAAACTCTAAGAAAAGTCTAATTAAGATAGGCTTCCTATCCTAACAAGCCTTTAAATGGTTGGTTTTCTGAATTCTGGGTGGTGCTTTGGTGTTTACCAACAATGAACTCCAGGGAGAAACAAGTTAAACATTTATTAATGTAACTTGTTCATCACTTATTATAATCAGTTTATTAATACAATTTAAAACAGATGCTAGTATCGATAATACAAAATATTAACATTTATTGATATAAATGTCCTCAAAGGGAAGGGAACCTAACTCCCAGGAACACTCTGGGGGAAAGTAGCGCACTGTCAAATGGGAGGGCCACTGGTCTGAGACGCAGCGAACCCGCGTTCTTGTCCCCACTCTGCAGCAGGGTAGCTGTGTGATGCCGGAGCGGCCTTCTAATTCCTTTGCACCTGTTCCCTTGGCTGCAAATAACATGATCCCCAAGTTACTTAGCAGGTCCAGAATTCTGAGTCTGTGATTTTACACCTTCTAACAGTGATAATCAGCCACAAAGCTCGAAGGCTACCAACGAATGCGGGACCTTCACGTTGGGAGAACTGGGCATTCATGTCAACACAAAGGGTCACTGTGAGGACCCGACAAGCTAATTCATGAAAAGCACCCAGAACAGTGCCTGGCACACAGTGCGCTCTCAACAGGCGTTGGCAATTGTCCATCTACTGGGTCGTTCATTCAGTAAGTGCTGCTGCATCTGACCCTCCTCGAGGCAGGGGTGGGCCATGATTCCCTTGACTTCCTATAGAGGATGATCAGGTCAGAACATGAGGTAAAGTAAAAGCACTTGTGAGTAGATACAGTCCCGCACACTGCAGGTAAATCAGGAAGCTGGATACATTTGGGGACATGCAGAATTATATTAGTTTTATCAAGGGAAATGAACCAACATAATAATAAGCTTTACTTTCTTTTTTGAAGGGGATGAGAGATGTGGGTTAAGGGAAGAAGGAGAGATACCACAATGGTACTGCTCAGCATTAATTCTTAAATAAAAAATGGGGGGAAAGGAGGAAAACATGTGGTAGAAATGTCAGGCAGGTTTTGAGTATATTTTGATAAACTTCCTTCTATCACAATCCATATAGCTTAAAGACCCTGACAGAGACAACCTGCCCCAATCTTGACCGTGAATAACTATAAACAACCACACTGGATAAGACTGGGAAAAGAATTAGGTTGGCCTGATGAATAGTAATGAGTATTATTAATTATTAGGTTAGTAATAGCTTTACTTGTGAATACTGGTAGTTTTGCTGCAGTTATTTTGCAGTACTTTGTGCTTTTTAAAAATATTTGTGTCCGTTTTTCCAAAAACATTTCCTATTTTTCTTCAACATTCAAACTATTACTCCTGCCCTGATATAAAATTTAATGTAAACTAAGGTCCCATTTTCCAGGAAAATGATACACATGTACAGGAAGGATTCAGAAAGACACACACCAACATATGTTACTAATGGCTCTCAAGGGATACGATTATGGATACTCATTCTTTTCTTCCTTTAGTCTGTAACCTTCTGATTTTTGTATACTGAGCGCAGATTCATTGTGTAATAAAATTAAGCAATCAAATCGACATAAAAGTAAGAGACAGGCCAAGCTGCAGTAGCACATGCTGGATGCCACTGCTCAGCAGGCAGAGGCCACACGGGAGACCCAGGTTCAATTCCCGGTCCACCCTGAAAGCCACAAGTGGTGCACACCTGTGGTTCCAGCTACTCAAAGTTGAGACAGGAAGTATAGTGACCATGTCTAAAACAGCACACAGACACTTTTTTTTTTTTTAGTAAGATATGGCCTTTTCTATAATCTTTATAAACTTCTAATTCATTTTCAGTCACAAAAATAACTGTTATACATACGAGTTTCACTTTTGTGCATGGGCGAAACTGCTTAAAGATGCATAGAGTTGAAAAATGTTCTCTGGGTGGACCAGCATTTCCCACACTGGAAGGGGGATTATTATGGCACCTGGTTTTCTGCTGAGCAAATGACACACTGCCTTTCTGGATAACGAGACTGGGTGTTGATCCTGAATCCCTTTTCTAACTCTAGCATTTGGTGTTTCTACTGTTCCAGTCAAGCGTTCAACACAAATACAGTCTACTTGTATACATGCAGATGAGATTTCTTAAAATGTAGAAGAGCAAGAAAATGTCATAGAATTGCAACTTTCTACTAGCATTATCTTTGAGAGGGAGAGTACAAATGCAATCGGGATCCTGACCACCTCACCTGAAAATGACAGTAGGCGGCCTATGCTTTGCTTGTGGTCCCATTACAGGAGTGCTGGGATACACTCAGAACTCACACACACACACTTTCCTACTGGTGAAGGAATTTAGAAAGAGCAGCCCAAGTCCTATGGAAGGTCAGTAGGTGGCGTGGAGGTTAGGGACCTGGATCCCATGGCCTACAGTGTTTAATTCTGGACCCTGTGGCTGGGAAAATATGCTGGGTGCATGTGTGTGCATGCCCAAAATTCAGAGAAGAGAATGGTGGAGAAAGGACTGCAGCATGGCCATCCACCCATTTCTCACTTTGCCTCTCTTTCTCTGTCTCTCTCTCTCTGGTGAGTGCATGCATCCTACAGCAAACCACCCCCCCCCTTAAAAAAAAAACCTCTTCCTACTTTAAAAAGCATATTCAAAAACGCTCTCACCTCCATATACAGAACACAGAGGGTTTTTCCCCCTAAGTCCCTTAAAGTTAGAGGAATCTACACCCTAGAACTCTCTACTGGACTATAATTACTCTACATAGTAACTTCCTAAAACTGTTCTCTTGAACATGTCATGGTACAATTTAATGCAACAATCAAAGAACTGAATAATATACCTATTTTTCCAGGCATATTTATAAAAAATAAACATAGTTCATTAAAACCCACAGGTTACAAAATAAGCCTAACTAAAAAGGAATTCCCATTTCTTTTATATCTCCTTTTGTTACTCTTTCATGCAATATCAATTAAAATCTGTCCTCTGGCACCATCACAAGAGTCAGGTGAACCAGGAGGGAAGTATAGGGGACAGGACTGAAGGTATCAGATAAAGCAAAGCCCCAAAGCACCATGGTAGAGAAGAGGTGTGGCGAAAATGAACGCAGCGACTCAATGTCCTGAGATGCCTCATTTTGCCAAAAGGGAAAGCCCTCAGAAACAGGGTGCTCCTTCGGACTCTTGGAGAGGTGTCTGGCCAACATGTGATGGACACACACATGGCTCTTCCCTAAGGCCACTTCCCTGCCTCTGTCATTCCCACAGTCTCCTGGCCGGCCCTCTGTACACTGAGCCTGTGAAGCATGGGCCCAGCTCTGCCACTGCCTGACCGTGGGCAGGTCTCCCCACCACTCAGAACATTGTTTTCTTATTTCCTGATGGGTTGGTCGATAATTTCCACCCAACTCCACCATCTGCTGTGTGGCACTGACCACCTGATGACAAGAGAGGGTTCCTGTTTCAAGGTGGCCCAGCCCTTCCCTAGCAGCAGGGGGCCAAGGAGGAGAATCACCTTCCCCACTGCAGCTTCTGTTTGGTGCCACCTGCTATTCTTTGGGGAAGCCTCCCTCCGCTTTGATTGCATCCAAACATTCTCAAGCCAAACCCTGAAAACCTTTTCATCTGGAGCAAAGGTCCCAGCCTCCTCCCTAAAGACCTCTGCATGGAGCTGTGGCCTGCCCTTTCTTTCTAGCGCTTACTTTCACTGGGCTTTTAAGCCTTCTTTATCTCATTAAAATACGCTGCCCCACACTTAACTTGCTTTTTCAGCACATGAAGATGAACTATCAATATCTTTTTTTGTTTGTTTTAAAAAAGTATTTTATTTAATTATATTCATTGTCATTATTTTATTGAAGTTGATCAGAGAGTGTCAGAGAGAAGGAAAGTGAGAAAACAAGGTGCCCGGTAAAAGACTCGAACCACGGTCAGCCATGTAGGAGACTAGCCACCTTAAACACCATGCCACCTGCTGGTCCCAAACTATCAGTACCTTAATGGTCATTAGTCTCTTCCTTCAGAGAAGGAGACAGATGAAACAAAAACTAAACTTCCAGGTCAAATCCTGCCTGCCACCTCCAGAAACGAGAGGCTTCAGGAGCTGCAATATCACTTGTCACCAGAGAGGGTCCTTTGGTCATGAGACCCTGAACAGAAGCACAGAGAAAAGAACTGTGGAAGCACTCACCAGGGCTCGAGGTGCCTTTGCCCAGAAGCTGGGAAGTCGCAGGGAAAACGCTCTATTGTGAGGCTGGACACCACAGGCTGTCTTGGCCTGCAGCCTTTGAACATTAGAATCCCTGAACTCTTTTCTCCCTCCTGGGGTTCCTCGCTGCCCAAGCAATTGCCTCACTATGACGTGGCCACCCATGTGGCATCGCTCCAGCAAGAGAAGGCACAGACTGCAGAAGTAGAGGCACTGGGTACATAAGGGCTGGGGCTTTTGGCTAGTGTGAGCCTCCCCCAAAAGAGGATGCCCCTCATTGTGTGCTCACAGATCATTTCTGAGTCTGTAGATCTGGGAGACTAGGTCGTGGGGAAGGGGAAGCATAATGTGCATCTCAGTGTCTGCACCTGGGCCCTGACAATCACCAAGACACTGTCACTCCGCGAGGCCCTAATGGAGACAGCTTAGCAGAGCCCTCGGGAGACAGAGTTAACTGCGTCCCTAACTGGCTCTGACGCTGGCATCACTGATCCCAGCCTCCTCCCTAAAGACCTCTGCATGGAGCTGTGGCCTGCCCTTTCTTTCTAGCGCTTACTTTCACTGGGCTTTTAAGCCTTCTTTATCTCATTAAAATACGCTGCCCCACACTTAACTTGCTTTTTCAGCACATGAAGATGAACTATCAATATCTTTTTTTGTTTGTTTTAAAAAAGTATTTTATTTAATTATATTCATTGTCATTATTTTATTGAAGTTGATCAGAGAGTGTCAGAGAGAAGGAAAGTGAGAAAACAAGGTGCCCGGTAAAAGACTCGAACCACGGTCAGCCATGTAGGAGTCTAGCCACCTTAAACACCATGCCACCTGCTGGTCCCAAACTATCAGTACCTTAATGGTCATTAGTCTCTTCCTTCAGAGAAGGAGACAGATGAAACAAAAACTAAACTTCCAGGTCAAATCCTGCCTGCCACCTCCAGAAACGAGAGGCTTCAGGAGCTGCAATATCACTTGTCACCAGAGAGGGTCCTTTGGTCATGAGACCCTGAACAGAAGCACAGAGAAAAGAACTGTGGAAGCACTCACCAGGGCTCGAGGTGCCTTTGCCCAGAAGCTGGGAAGTCGCAGGGAAAACGCTCTATTGTGAGGCTGGACACCACAGGCTGTCTTGGCCTGCAGCCTTTGAACATTAGAATCCCTGAACTCTTTTCTCCCTCCTGGGGTTCCTCGCTGCCCAAGCAATTGCCTCACTATGACGTGGCCACCCATGTGGCATCGCTCCAGCAAGAGAAGGCACAGACTGCAGAAGTAGAGGCACTGGGTACATAAGGGCTGGGGCTTTTGGCTAGTGTGAGCCTCCCCCAAAAGAGGATGCCCCTCATTGTGTGCTCACAGATCATTTCTGAGTCTGTAGATCTGGGAGACTAGGTCGTGGGGAAGGGGAAGCATAATGTGCATCTCAGTGTCTGCACCTGGGCCCTGACAATCACCAAGACACTGTCACTCCGCGAGGCCCTAATGGGAGACAGCTTAGCAGAGCCCTCGGGAGACAGAGTTAACTGCGTCCCTAACTGGCTCTGACGCTGGCATCACTGAACTGCTCACGGTGCAGTCTGCAGAGGAGTTGAGACTCATTGTGCAAAAAACATCGCTCGCATGATAACACCATGAGTGCCCTCCAGTTCTTAAAATCCAGCCTCTCGTAGGTTAGAACAACAAACCCCTTTAATAAAAACATGCCATTTTCTTTATTTCTTGCAAAAATCTAGGTGTGGCTCCAGCCTGAATGATACACCTCAACTTCAGTATGGACTGTAAGATTATTATTATTAACTATTAAAGGTTGTGCGAAGAGATCGCTTTCCCCTAAATCGTTAGAACATGAATGTGTTTTCTATGGAATACCTCAGCACATTCTGTGGAACCAGTGTTTACTGTAACAGTTTGGGGAACATCACTCTTAGTCCCTCAAAGAGGCTACCAAGAGGCTACTCAATCTCACACAGTAGGATTTGCCTGGGCCTATCCATCAACCCAGCCTCCTGAGCCCCTCCTCCGGCCTCCCAGGCCTTGGCTCCAAATACCAGGTTGGAGCAGCCGCCCTCTGGTTACGCAAAGGCTGTGCTGGGGCTCACCTAAATCCAGCTGCAAAGCAGGTGGGGCTCGAGGGGCCCAAGTGTGAGGGAGAGCCTGCTACAGAGATTCATAAACACACAGATCCTGGACAGCGAGAACTTCAGAAATGTAAAGACAACATTTTCACACTTTTCATTGGTTATCTTTGTACTTTCCATCATTGCTGGCAACCTCGGCGGCAAGCGCTACACTTTGGTCACACACCTGCCTGCGCCTAACATGGTTTTCGTCCTGCCTTTTCCACTTCTGTGCACCTGCATGGAGCCCCAGACTGTGACTGCCCAGTGCCAGCTGCCCCATAGTCCTGGGGCAGCACCCACACAAGGGGACCCAGCCGCATCCTAGGCCACAAGGAAGCTTCCCAGCTCTAGCTGCAGGATGCTGCGGAAAGCCATGACACAGAGGAAGATGTTGGGGTCCCGATCTTCTGAGGAAATAGGGCCCTCCCTGCCAGATGGCCCAGTACCTACCTGACACTCCACATTGCAGTAAAATGCCTGCTTGCATCTTCCACATTTGGACAATCCTTCTTTCCTTAAAAACAGAAAGGACATTGTAGTGGCGAGAGGCGCAGAGACAACTGTGAAGCAATAGTAAGACCCTTGGGCTGGAGGGCAGAGCCAAGGGTCATCTCCCCTCACTCTCCCACCAGATGCATCCCCCCAACACACACACACACACACACACGGAGATTTTGACCAGAGTCAGTCCCAGGAGTAGTGAGTCAGTCAAACAGAACGTGCACCAACATTTACTTAGCCCTGCCAGCTTAGGGTCACCATCAAGAGACAAAGGACGGACACTCTGACTTAGTGACCCTGGCCTGGGACACCTCAACTGTTGGCTTCATTTTGCACTTTTATTATTCAGTAGCTTGGGGCAGGTCCAAGGCTCTTATGTCCTCAGTTTCTCATCAGCTAAGGAGGCACAGCAGTAAACAGAACCATGCTGTGGTTTGACCCCATGAAGAGGGACCATTAGGATACACCGACCCTGGTGAAAACGCCATGCAAGTGACGGTTCTCATATGAGAGCCTGCAAGTGATGACCAGACAGCACGAGTGTGCCAGAGCCGTCCCGATGCTGTCTAGAAAGCTACATTTAAAATAATGCCACCTGGCAAGCAGGGCATGTTCTTGGATACAGTATTACTGGATCCGCCTGGTACACACACCCACCTTGTCAGTGCACAGTTCTGTGACTCTTCTGAGTCTTCATTAATTAGGTCAACTCGACCTGCTCCTTGCTGTATCCCTAGCTTCCCATGAAGGAAAGGGATGTTGTTGTTCCCCAACTATGGGTGCTAGTGCATGTGCCTGAGACAAACCCAGCTCTTCCAAAAACCTGGCAAGCCACTGAAGTAAACCACGCACTGTGAAACTCTTTAACTTTTTCCTTCGGTGGGAAACAGCCACATGGTTTAAGTTAGAGCACGATCTAGAAAGCCTGCCATCTGATTCTCGCCCGCGTGCTGAAGCCAGCTCTTTGACTCATGGAGATGCTGCCACCAGGAAGGGCACTCTGCTGCTACAGGAACTGCATTGCTACAGAGCCACCTTAGGCCACCGCGGCCCTCCTCCCCTGCAGCCCGGCAGCCCTGACACGGATAGAGCCGCCTGAGGCCACCGCGGCCCGCCTCCCCTGCAGCCCGGCAGCCCTGACACGGAGAGAGGGGTGAGTGTGCGGCGCGGCTGGCATTTTCCATGGCAGAGTTAGACATCGTCACGCTGCAGGATCCTCCGCTGCTTCCCATCAGCGAGTGGCAGTCACCACACTCCTCCTACGGAATCAAGAAAGTGTTCCAAAAATGCCACCGTGGGAGCTTAAACAGACTGCCTCGCAGCTTTCGTGACAGCACTTGGATTGCAAGAAGCAGTCTGAAGAATGTGTGGGAGAAAAACACATCTTGGGTTGAGGCATAAATAAATATTCCAAGTTTGCACATCTCAACAGTTCGAGAAGGAACCCACTCATTTGGCTGAGTGGATTTTTCTGGTCTGAAATACCCCCTGAAGGGAAGGTCGGAAGGGATCGAAACTCCGACTTCACATTTTGAAACATAAAAGAAACGAGATGCTCTCAGATTTTATACTGAGGGAAAAGGAAGTACAGATCGGCGAGGGCTATGTGCTGTGGACGCAAAGCAACGCCCAGGCCTGGGAGGTAAAGAGTAGCAAGGCCATGGGGATCCTGCAAACTATTTCCAAAAAGAGGGGCTTTGGACACAAAGGTGGGGAGACACCAGCCCTAAGGATACCAATCTGAACCGTCATTTTTTTTTTTTTTTAATGTTTGAGGTTTTGTTTCTGTAGGGGGACAGGTTCTAGACTTCTATGCGACTCTGTCTAAAGCTACTAAC